AATTCGATGCGCAGAAATCCCCCCTCGAGAGCCCCGTTCAAGCGTTTCGGTGACCGCGACTCAGTGTTGAAGCAATGGCAACATTGCATGCAGCATTGATACTAATTTTTATTTGGTAATAAAACAATTGTTTCATGGTTATTTTGGGAACAGTCAAAACTATCATCCCTCGGTAGGGGGAATCCCTGTGGAACTGTTTGCCCTTGGCCTAGCGGCCTCGGGCAAACAGTTCCCCAGGGCTTCCCCCTACCTCGGGATGATAGTTTTGACTGTTCCCCAAATAGCCATGAAACAATTGTATACTGTTCCCCAAATAGCCATGAAACAATTGTATAGTGTCAAATATATATAGGTACATTGAACTGTGTCATATATATATATATATATATATATATATATATATATATAAAATAGAACAAAAGACAGAGATAGCGTCTCTAGGCCTTTCTCGGGTTGATTCCCCGTTCATCAGGAGACTGTTTATTTTGAAGACATGAATTGTGAGGTCATAGTTGTTTACACAAGAAAGTATGACGTCATCAATAATGCAAAGTCATTATGACGTCACAGAAGGCATACACATACATCCATGACGTCAACAACAATACAAGCTAAATTGTGACATTACATTACTTAGACAAATGCATAACTTTATGATCTTACCAACAATAAAAAACACGGGAGATACAAATTGTTTCATTTACGACAACAATAAAATATGAACAATAATATTTAAAGCACAGCAATTGCTTAAAGCATGACACGTTGAATTTAATGTGAACTATTCAGACTGGGTTTCAACAGTTTCATTAACTCCGACTCCTTAACTTCCCTCTTTATCACATCAGATGAATGCATTTGGTAAATAGGGGACACTTTGAAGTTATTGTTAGCACATTTATGAATATGTTTGTTCACTTGTAAAAATCTAAGGTCATCATGGATAGCTGTTGTTACTTTAAGAGTAATACCTCTCCAATTTCCACAATTTGTAAGGTCACCTTTCTTGGCACGCAAGATTTACATGAGGTCCCTTTTCCAATCTTGTGCGATTTCCTCTGCAACCCAGATCTCTCCAATAAGCTTGTGTATCTCTCTAACAGTTGTTACAATGTCTGCTTTTATAATTTCTGTTGTGATGTTTTCAATACCTGGTGCTTTACCTGACTTCATCTCTTTTATAGTAAGTTTGATCTCTTTTATAGTAGGTGGACCTGTATCAAAAACTTATTCCTGTGTCAACATGTGCAGGTTCTGTTGGATCAGGCCTGTTTAATATTTCGTCAAAATATTCCGTCCATATCTTTTTCACATCACTGTCCTTCGTTAAGATATTCCCTTCCTAGCTCCTTACCATTCCTATGCTCTTTGGTCTTTCATTACATAATTGCTTTGTGACGTCATACACACCCTCCATGTTTCCCTGATTTGCTGCTGTCTCTGCCTCTGTAGCCAGTCTATCAAGCCATTGCTGCTTATCTCTCCTCGTGTTTCTTTTAACATCTTTGTCTTTTTCGCTGTATAACCCCCTCAGTCTCTCCTTGACTCTCTCTGATTTTGTGCTATCTATTTTGTTTTTTAGGGATCTTCGTTCTTCCACCCTCTTCCAACTTTCTTCGCTAACCCATTCCTGTTTTTTCCTTCTATGATACCTAAATACAGCTAATAAAGTTTCGTTGTATGCTGTCTTGAAATTATTCCATCTGTTTTCTATATCTGTGTCATCATTTGTCTGCTCACTCAGAATGCTGAATCTGTTTCTAAGCTCGATCATGAACTGCTGTTTCACCTCGGTTATTTTCAGCTTACATGTTTCATATCTAGAAGATGTTGTTGTCTTTTCAGCAGCCTTATGAAGTTTACGTTTTGTCTTGATTACGATTAGCCGTGATCGCTGCCCACATCTGCACCCCTGTGACATCTATGATTGATCTCTTGAACTTCCCATTTACTGCCACGTGGTCTATTTGGTTATGGTGTAGTCCATTTGGCGATGTCCATGTGTGTAGATGAATATGTTTATGTGGGAACATTGTTGATGCAATGACTAGGTTGTTAATGGCACAGAGAGAGAAACGTCTTTCTCCATTGTCATTCCTGTCACAGTGAAGCCCAAACTGACCAACAACTCCTTGTTCTCCATCAAACTTTCCTCCCACCGTTGTATTCACATCACCTGTTACTGTCATGGTGAGGAGTGTTTTCAATAACTTTCTGAAACTGGTCATATAATAGGTCTTTCTCAACTTCAGTTGCCTCATTTGTTGGTGCATACACTTTGGTCATAGTAGTTTTTATACATTTGGACCAGAACCTTGCTGTTATAATTCGGTCAGTGATTGATGTCCATTCACTCAGCGTTTTCATTGCTTCCCTTGTCAATGCAATTGCCACTCCACTGTTGTGATGATCATCTGTCCGACCAGAATATAATATTGTCTCACCTGTTGCAGTCCTGATCCTGTCCATCTACATTCACCGATTCCTAATATGTCTAAATGGTACCTTTATATTTCTTTCATGACCCGCGCTGTTTTTCCTATAGTATACATGGTTCGTACGTTCCACGTGCCTAACCTCCTAGTGAACTTGGGATTGGCCAGCGAATCATTCCGTCTGCAAGTTTCAACTGGGTTTGGCTCGTAGAAATCATGCTAACATCTCCGCCGACGATGAAGTGGTCCTCTGGAGTATGTCTGATTGCTGTACAATCCCTAATGAAAACATCTGTTGACCTGTTCTTAATTTCCGTTATCAGTTTTTAGGTCACCTGAGACAAAGTCTCAAGTGACATATTGCGATCGCCTTTTGTCCGGCGTCGTCCGTCCGTAAACAATTTACATTTTCGACTTCTTCTCCAAAACCCCTGGCCCAATTTCAATGAAATTTTGCAGAAACCTTCCATGACCAAATGTCAACTAAAATTGTGAATTATATTGTCCGCAGCCCCCAGGGGCCTAATGGGCGGGGCCAAAAAGGGTAAAATTGACTGAAATTTCAAAAAAAATCTTCTCAAGATCCAGATATGGTAGAATCAAATACTCTTCATAGATGTAAGGGTCTTAAGGTGCTTTACTAAAATTGTAAATTTCATGACCCTTGGGTCTCACGTTTCCCCCTTGGGAGGGGGTAAACTTTACTATAGCTTATATAGGGAAATCACATTTTGGACTAACATTTGTTTAATTGCCATTGGAAGTAATTCAATTTGGGTTAGCATTATCAGTATTGGATAGCAGTTTGATGGTATGCACATATCAACCCTGACTGACCCCCCGGGGTTGATGGGTGGGGCAAAAAAGGGTCGAATTGACTGAAAATTCAAAAATCTTCTTCTCAAGACCTAGATATGGTAGAATCAAATACTCTTCATAGATGGAAGGGTCTTAATGAGCTATACCACAATTGTAAATTTTATGATTCTAGGGTCTCACGTTTACTCATGGGGATGGGGTAAACTTTACTATAGTTTATATAGGGAAATCACATTTTGGACTAATTTTTGTTTAATTGCCATTGAAAGTAATTCTATTTGGGTTAGCATTATCAGTATTGGATAGCAGTTTGATGGTATGCACATACCAGCCCTGACTGACCCCCAGGGGCTGATGGGTGCGGCAAAAAAGGGTCGAATTGACCTAAATTTCAAAATCTTCTTCTCATGACCAGATTTGGTAGAATCAAATTATCTTCATAGATGGAAGGGTTTTTAGGTGCTCTACCAAAATTTTGAATTTTATGACCCTAGGGTCTCACGTTTACCCCTGGGAATGGGGGGGGGGGGCAAAATTAGGTATGGTTTATAATGGCAAATGATACTTTGAATATTACATGTTGATTACTTGATTGGAATTATAACCCTAAGTTGACAGTTTGATACTTTGAAAATGTTGAGCCATCCTTACCCCCAAGGGCTGTAGGGTGGGGCCCAATGGGGTCCGTGTGCTAAAATAAAATTTCTTCATTTTCCTTGTTTAGAATCAGAGGTGCTAGTTTCAAATACTTTTTAGTATTAAATCTGCATGCTAGATAATGAATAAGGTGGTTTTATTGTTTTTTTTGTCACTTTGAACAATAATATATGTTCATGTTAAAAACAAAAATCAACTCTCTGTATAAATATATCAGGTGACCGTTAAGGCTCATGGGCCTCTTGTTTTATATATAGTGTCGGATAATTAGCTCTACGCCCAATCAGTGTATCAGTGTATAATGTCAACTATATATACGTACAGTGTACAGTGTCAAATATGTATTTGCCTCTATACAGTGCCAAATATATACTATACAATGTAGTTACTGTGTATAGTGTCAAATATATATATACGTACAGTGTACAGTGTCAAATATACATACACACTGTGTACAATGTCAAATATATATACATACTGTGCACAGTGTATAGTGTCAAATATATATAGGTACAGTGTACAGTGTCAAATATATATATATACGTACAGAGTCAAATATATAAACGTACAGTATACAGTGTCACATATGTATACGTACAGTGTGAATTGTCAAATATATAAACGTACAGTGTATAATGTCAAATATATATATATACGTACAGTGTTAAATATATAAACGTACAGTATACAGTGTCACATATGTATGCGTACAGTGTGTAGTGTCAAATATATAAACGTACAGTGTACAATGTCAAATATATATATTTACGTACAGTGTCAAATATATAAACGTACAGTGTACAGTGTCAAATATATATTTACGTACAGTGTACAGTGTCATATATATGTACGTACAGTAGTTACTGTGTATAGTGTCAAATATATATATACGTACTGTGTACAGTGTCATATATACATACATATTGTGTACAGTGTCAAATATATATACATACTGTGCACAGTGTATAGCGTCAAATATATATAGGTACAGTGTACAGTGTCAAATATATATATATACGTACAGTATACAGTGTCACATATGTATACGTACAGTGTGAAGTGTCAAATATATAAACGTACAGTGTACAATGTCAAATATATATATATATATACGTACAGTGTCAAATATATAAACGTACAGTATACAGTGTCACATATGTATACGTACAGTGTGAAGTGTCAAATATATAAACGTACAGTGTACAATGTCAAATATATATATATACGTACAGTGTCAAATATATAAACGTACAGTATACAGTGTCACATATGTATACGTACAGTGTGTAGTGTCAAATATATAAACGTACAGTGTACAATGTCAAATATATATATTTACGTACACTCTACAGTGTCAAATATATCTACGTACAGTGTACAGTGTCAAATATATAAACGTACAGTATACAGTGTAAAATATATATACGTACAGTGTGCAGTATCATTCATATATGTCTACGATGAACAGTGTAAAATATTTGAAGTTAAAGTGTACAGTGTCAAATATTTGTACGTACATGTACAGTGTCAAATACATATACGAATAGTGTACAGTGTCAAATACATATACGAATAGTTTAGTGTCAAATACACACAATCTAGATAACGTGCACTTTAATCCTTATAATGTATGGTTTACCCTATACACAATTCAGTTGTTAGTATAAGGAAGAAATTCGTTTCCGTTTGGTATTATTTCTAAATCATGTCCTTAAATGACCTTAGCAGCCATATGACGTTAAACCTTTGCACACACACACACACACACACACATATATATATATAGCAGTATTCCCTGATGAACCCCTAAAGAGGAGAAAGCTAGGGAAGTCGAAGCAACCCGTGTCTTTTATTTATATATATATATATTAAGTGAATAAACCATATTCTTTTCCTAAAACATTATTTAACATTATTGGTGATGTAATTATCAAGTATCTTTGTACACTACTCACTCATTAAGATGATATCCTCCCCTGTCTTAGTCGTTTTCAATATGAGTGTAATGTTACCTACAGTTTGTATTTGCTCCGTGACTTTATGATTGTATTTAAAACACCATGTTACTATGATTGCATACACAAGTATTCAGTATACAAACCAAACGTACTGCAATCAATGTGGTTTGAAATGGAACAGTCGTGATTTTCGGCGTTTTCATAATTAACATGAAAATCCATATATAAGAGGTAGGGAAATCTACAGTAATATGGAAGAACATTAAATGTAACGTTTTACTATCATTAACATCCTCATATCATTCATGAGTAAGTTATAGTAACAATATAATGACCTACACGTCGTCGTATGACCGCTGTATGTAATAATATTCGGACTAAGAGTCATCCACAAAGGGGCGGAATGGGTAAACATGTAACCCGTCCCCTGGCTGCCTGCTCTATTAGAGTGATATTGGGCGAAATGTGTCTTAAGAGGTTTAGAGTCGAGACAACGGTCGTTTACACTCTTTGCTTGACAAAGAAAACAGACGTTTTGGAAATCTCGCAAAATAAGGTTTCAATTACTATATGTGTTCAACACAAACTCAGCCTTTATGAATAATAATAGTCTAGTATTCTGAACATCGTCAGCCATAATGGCCATAGTACCTTATTATTTGTAGTAACATTCTAATAGCCGTACTCCTTAGTCTTACTAGGTACATTCTAATATCAATACGACCTTAACCTTAATAGTATCATTCTAATGGCCATACGAACTTAGTCTCAATAGAATCATTATAATGGCCATACGACCTTAGTCTCAATAGTAACATTCTAATAGCCGTACTCCTTAGTCTTACTAGGTACATTCTAATATCAATACGACCTTAACCTTAATAGTATCATTCTAATGGCCATACGAACTTAGTCTCAATAGAATCATTATAATGGCCATACGACCTTAGTCTCAATAGTAACATTCTAATAGCCGTACTCCTTAGTCTTACTAGGTACATTCTAATATCAATACGACCTTAACCTTAATAGTATCATTCTAATGGCCATACGACCTTAGTCTCAATAGTATCATTCTAATGGCCATACGACCTTAGTCTTAATAGTATCATTCTAATGGCCATACGACCTTAGTCTTAATAGTATCATTCTAATGGCCATACGACCTTAGTCTTACTAGGTACATTCTTATACCAATACGACCTTAGTCTTAATAGTATCATTCTAATGGCCATACGACCTTAGTCTCAATAGTATCATTCTAATGGCCATAAGGACTTAGTCTCAATAGAATCATTCTAATGACCATACGAACTTAGTCTCAATAGAATCATTCTAATGGCCATACGACCTTAGTCTCAATAGTAACATTCTAATAGCCGTACTTCCTTAGTCTTACAAGGTACATTATAATACCAATACGACCTTAACCTTAATAGTATCATTCTAATGGCCATACGACCTTAGTCTTAAAAGTAACATTCTAACAGCCATACGACCTTAATCCCATAGTAACATTCTAATAGCCATACGACCTTAGTCTTAATAGTAACATTCTAATAGTCATACAACCTAGTCTTAATACTAACATTCTAAAAGCCATACGACCTTAGTCTAAATAGTAACATTCTAATAGCCATACGACCTTAGTCTCAATAGTAACATTCTAATAGCCATACGACCTTAGTCTCAGTAGAATCATTTTAATGACCATACGACCTTAGTCCCAATAGTAACATTCTAATAGCCATACAACCTTAGTCCCAATAGTAACATACTAATAGCCAAACGACCTTAGTTCCAATAGTAACATTTCAATAGCCATACGACCTTAGTCTCAATATTAACATTCTAATAACCATACGACCTTAGTCTCAATATTAACAGCGATACGATCATAGTCTTACTAGTATCATTTTATAGTCATGTGACGTAAGTACATTCTTAGTCTTAATTGTACCTTTATTATTGACATACTATCCTAGTCTTGACAGTAATATACCAATATCCATACGACTTTAGTCTTGATAATAATAAGATACTGTATATGGTCCTTACGTTTCGAAAAGCTGAGTACTTTTTACGTTTATGTATACAGATAATTACTTATTTATTACAGTACAAACATGGTCTGCTGGAGGCTGTATCACAGGACTGAAAACTGCATCGGTAACAGCTTTCACAAGTACGGAGTGCTTGTGGGGACATACCCCGTGATCGTGTTGGCCATTTCAATCGCGGGGTCTTGTGTGCTGGGGGTAGGACTACTCAATCTTACAGTGGAGACTGATATCGAGAAGGTTTATACTCCACCAAACAGCCAGGCCTCCCAGGACCGATCGTTGTTACAGGATATATTCCCAGACAGCTCCGGTTCGGACTTCAACTCGTACAGTAGTATCAATGCTAACATATTTGGTAGTGTTATCTTCCGTAGAAAGGATTCGTCAAATCTGCTGAGTCTCGACAACATCGAGGAGATTCAGACAATCTATAATTCAATAATTACAAATGTCTTAGGAAACGGGAGGGATTATTTTTATTTGTGTGCGGTACAAAACTCAAGTTGTGCTGTTGATGGCGAAATTATTTTTACTAACAATTTTGTACAGTTACTTCAAAGAGGTCGACTTACGTTCCCGGTTCTTGAAACACACCACATTGAATCTGTGTTTGGCGATGTTGTCGTAGCAAATGGTATCTTGGTATCTGCAAAGTTGATAAAACTAACATTGAATTTACGACATGATACCAAGGCGTACAGAGAAGATTCCAAATCATGGGAAGCAGCGTTTATGTCCTTTATGAAGAACGTGAGCTCTTATTCATTGGATGTAACGTTTGCCCACTCCACTTCGTTAGACGATGAATTGTCAAAAAACATAAAAGGAGACATTGTTTTGGTGTCTGTGACCTTTACACTAATGATAATTTACGCCACCTTAGTAACCACGAGCTGTGACCCAATACTGGACCGGCAAAACCTTGGGCGAGCCGGTGTCCTAGCAACCGGACTTAGCATCCTGGCCTCGTTTGGTCTGGGTAGTGCCTGTGGTGTTGAATTCGTCAGTATCGCTGGTGTGATGCCATTTTTGATTCTTGGTAAGTATAGACCATTCCTATAATCTATCTTGGAAAAGATAATTTCTTTGAATCATCTTGCTACAATTACCAGATGTTCAGCAGGACTTCTTCCCGATTAGACTGCATATCCACACTTCCGGTCAGGGCAAGATATCTCTGTCTTGATAGTTGATCACGATGATGACTCTGATAAGCTGGAAATTATGACATTAATATTGGCTTTTCATGAAATTACTACTTGAATTGATGTGGGAGAAAAATTTAATCATACCCCACGTTAGAAGAAAATATCAAGCCTCCGGGTAAGGTACTTTTACATGTTTACACCTTAGGTTGAGATTTTTCTATCTCTACCCCAAGGTGGGGAATGATTATATATTAATCAACAATTAACAATATGTCCTCGACTTGTTATTCAACATCCGTTAATGAGCTAAGGTCGCTTTGTTTTCTTTACTAACATACCTTTTTCAAAAGGAACATGTACAGTAGGATTCATTTGGAAGCTGAAGTCTCCCTAATATCAATCATCGCATCAAGTTGTTTCCTTCCATACTTACAGTTGGTGTTTCCTCAAGATTAGTATAGTGCAAGATATTACTGACAAATATTAAATTTCGATTACCCGATGAAGAAAAGGGGCAAATTTATTCGCCTTCTAAATACGGTATTTAACCTGAATCGAAAATTGTTGTTGTTTAGGGTGTAGCTGGCACTTCGGTACAGAAAAATAAATATAAACTAAAAACAAGTTTATTGGATAACTATGTTGAAATGAAAATCTATATACATAGATGTTACTCTAAAGAGGAGAAAGCGCTAGGGAAGTCGAAGAAACTCTTCTCTTTTGTTTATATATGTATAGACTGACACAAATATAACAATTATTGTAGAAGGTGTATCGATGATTTATATTGACCTGTGCAGTAATATATGTTTCTGGTTGCCATAACTACGGGCCCTTGCTCAGTATCACGTTATACGTATGTCCTTTACAAATTCTAATGCACGTTTAGTTGCCTTTTTTGCCCGTAAAATGTGATAAAAGAAAAAGCTATCATGCAATTATGTTAGCTGACATGATGATAGGGCGATAAGGAATTCCCTGAAGTTAGTCTACTGTGATAAGCACCATCAATTAATTAGGACATTGCGTACATTTTTGTATTTATCATTTCCTTACCAGGTATAGGTATCGACGATATGTTTATTTTACTGGCCGGCCTAGCGAATGCCCCCCTGAAAGACACCATTCCTAACAGAGTCGGTGACATGATGCGTACCAGTGGTGTGGCAGTCACGATCACATCTTTCACAGACATATTTGCCTTTGGTATTGGAGCCTTATCCGTCTTTCCCGGTGTTCGCAATTTTTGCATATACACAGGTAAATATTGTGTTCGTCAATTAAAAGCAAATTAATACACGCAAGTTCATTCAATTCATTGAAACTTCTTACTGAAAAAATATTTCTTTATATTAAAAGCAAATGAAAACACTTGTCTGAAATATACCCCGTTCTTTTCTCTATATTAATTATGGTATGCTATATTTAATGCTCAATCATTTCTGATTATTTCTAGGATTGGCGGTCTTCTTTTGTTACATAAATTTCGTAACATTTTTCGTCGCCTGTGTCGCGATCAATGAGAGAAGGATGAGTGACCAACGGCATAGCTTCACGTGTAGGAGAATTCGACTGAAGGACGAAATGAGCGGCGAGTCAGCACTGAACCGATTTTGTTGTGGCGGGAGGGTGCCCTCGTCTAAGGAAGACCTCGAGAGCGTTATAGAGCGGAATCCTGGGAAATTACTCTCTAAATTTGTCACTTTGCTTCCTGTTAAAATTATCACACTGGTTTGCTTTTCAGTTTATCTGGGAGTATCAATTTATGGTGTGACAAATTTCAAACAAGGGTTTGATATAACTAATCTAGTAGCGGACGATTCCTACTTTTACGAATACAGTACACTTAATCAGCGATATTTCACTCAGAGGATACCCGTGTCCTTCGTTTTGACACAGCCTTTGCGGTATTCCGACACGCGCACCATCTCCGCTATCAGTACTTTAGTGAACAACATCACGAGTGATGAATCGATGAACAACCAGCTTCAAATCAACTGGTTCAGTAGTTATCGCTCTTCTGCTTTCTTTAACGGTTCGTCAGAGGCCCAGTTTGTGACGAACCTGAAAGCATTTTTACTTCTTCACCCACAATTTCGGACCGACATACTTTTTGAGGATACCCGAGAGGCTATTCGTGCTTCGCGAATTTACGCCTTGACCAATGACCTGAAAGATTCCACAGAACAGGGGGAGTTGATGCAAAGAATGAGACAAATAGCGACCAAGTCGTCCCTCGAAGTCATTGCGTACTCCCCACCTTTCATTTTTTATGAGCAGTATGTCGTAATTGTGTGGTCTACCCTGAAGACCGTCGGGATGGCCGTCGTCGCGATATTCATCATTACAACCCTCTTCATGCCAAGTCCGTTACTCATACTGTACGTTACGGCTACCATGGCGATGATAATGACAGGAATTTTTGGCTTTATGTATTTCTGGAACTTAACCCTGAGTTCAATCACGATGATTCACATCATCATGAGTTTAGGCTTCTCAGTAGATTTCAGTGCACACATCTGCCATGCATACATGACAGTGGAAGGCCAAACACGTGACATAAAAGTAAAGAACGCTTTACTGCGTGCTGGTGGACCTATCCTTAACGGATCCGTGTCATCATTGCTTGGAATATTAATGCTGATATTTTCGCAGTCTTACATATTTCAATCATTTTTTAAGGTGATGCTGCTTGTGATTTTGATTGGAATGGGACACGCCCTCTTTTTTCTCCCCGTTGTCCTGTCGCTCATTGGTCCGTTGGATACTCTTCTTCCCAGTAGTACTTCCGAGAAAAAGCCATTAAATGGTAACACATTTACCGGTATCCAGGACAAAGCCAGTTTACCTACTGGCTTTAATAATGATGCAAAGAGAGCAAGTGACTTTATCGGATCAAATGTTGGGGTGACAGTGTAAATGGGATTAGTTATTTTCTTTTCTCCGCCGTGGGATCTGTTTCCTATCACAAACCCTATGTTTACTTATTGTTAAGGGCGTCTCGTTTAACCTTCTTCTGCTCACCAAAAGCACCCAGGAAGTAGCTTTAATTGATTTGATGAGGTTTTTCAAATCCATAACCCTCCTCCCCATGCTGTCCCCCTTTCTACGACGTGAACCAAGACAATATGGTATACACGGACAGCAATATGGTGCGACAAACAACTTGACGTCACACGTGACGAGCAGTATAGTTATACGATCGAGATTCCTGAAACGCTAAAATGATGTTTTAAACTTAGTATATTGACCTGTCAAATGTAATGATTTTACCTGCTATTTTGAGAGAAATATTCCCCTTCGGGTTATATACTTTAAATAAACATTATATCTGTCTTATATAAATTTGGCTGTCTCCCTTTTTTTGTTAATGAAAATGCATTTCATCATATTATATTTTGAATGTATTTTAAGTCTACCAAGGTGAAGTCCCTGTGTTAAGATGTCGCGGATAGCACGCGGGGACGTGTACCTCCGCGCAATGACCATCGATGTCCTTTAACTCACGTGAACAATAGTCCAAGTACTGTATATGTATGCACCATACGTATATATGGTCATATACTTTCCTTAATTCAGTAGAATTATATCATTATATAATTAAGTGTATCTCGATACTTTTCTTCAGAATGTCATTACATCATTATGTGTATCGTGCTATTTTCATTCAATAGTACTTAATTATGAACAGCGTACTGGTATCTATAGACGAGTGTCAGTATTCAATATGGTATAATCGCGATAGTTCAGCAGTGTCAGTTTATACCTATGTACCCCGTCATATCTTCACTTCAGTATCAGTATATGATTGTATGTATAATTTAGTATATAATTATAAGATACTGGGTAATTACCTTGTTATTTTTAGTCGACTGGCGGTATTAGTATAGTATATCATTATATATACCGGGCTATCCGGCAGTAGTGTTAAGTATATAATTACATATTCCGTGAAATTTTCCAGTCAAGTTTCAAACCTGTGTCATACTATTTTCAATCGGGTGTCATTATATGAATACGTATACCGTGTTATTTTTTGTCGGGTGTCATGATATAATTATATATACCGCACGTTTTTCGTTATATTGTTTGTGTCGAGTGTCCGTATATAATAATAAATTCTGTATTATTTTTAATCCAGATTCAGTATACAATGATGTATGTCGTTTTGTTTTCACTGTAATGTCCTAAATAAATATATATGCCGTGTTATGTGTATACTGTGCTGTTTTCATTTCATTTTTTGTTTTGTTCTTTACAAATTTATTGAATGTACCCAAACATGTCTTAAAACAATGTATGTGTTGGTAGTCCTAAATAATTCTCGCCTTGTCTGTTGGTTTGTATACCTCGATGTTTATTGATATATCATTGTACATGTATAGGGCGGCAATAGGGAATTTGAATTTAGATTGAGGTTGGTGCAGGAAAGATATACCGCATTCCCTTGTCTATGTGGTGGGTCGTGTTGTCTTCCCTTTTGTTTCGGTGTTTATTGTGTGGCGCTTGTTGACGTTTTGTTGTTTTGACTTTTAGTCCATTTGTGGCCACTCTCTGTTTTTTTATTAAGATATTTTTTTATTTGGAAATTGTTAAGGAAATCGTATTCATAGTTTTCGATAAAATGTTCTTTACTGTTGTGGGCTACTGTGTATATATAAACAAATGGCTGATGACTATATATTGTGCCTTACTTGTAACATGCTGAGCTGTAGTGTAAAACAACTACAATAGAGTTAGTACGGTTTGTCGTTCTTTCTGTCTTATCGGCTGTTCCTGCATGTGTTCGTCCGTTCGTTGGTACATGTAGCCAGTCGTGATGACATACGTGTATAATTTAGGCCTGGTAAACGGTAGAATGTCTATATTTGGTATTACTGAAGATACTGTTAGATATCCTCTATATTTTAAGCTTTGTAAACGATAGAATGACTATATGTGTTCGGTCGCGATACCTACACCATAGTTCAGGTGGTAAGTGTTATGCTTAATATGTTTTATTGTGTTTGTATTAATTATTGTAGACGGTGTTTGTGCAGTTGTCATTCAGATCAAATCTAATTGCTCAGACAAGTTCACGTGTATGGGAGTACAGTTTGTACTTAACATTTCAATTTCATGTCATTGTAGATCATAAATTGAAATGTTACCTAGCATTATAAATTGTTGCTTCATTACAACATAAGAAGTAGCCATATTATGATTTTAATCTCATTGTAAATTGTATTTATGACATTCCATCAATCAACCTCTTCATCACTACTGTTTTTCCAAATGACATTGCCCAATAAATATAACGCTGAAATTATTATTCAAAATTTGTATTTCGGAAACCTCAATGACTTTTTACAGACAGCGAGTGTCGACGTTTGCTGTGTAGCAGGAACACGGTATACTCCGTTTCTTCTTGTGAGACGGCCATTTTGTAGCGTTCGTATGTAATGGCGCCTCCTGGCGGTAGTTGTCGGTAGGGAATTCCCCTGTGCTATTTTTGGCACTGGTGGTACATGTCCCGAGATTCTTGTTATATTCATGGTTTGGACTGGCCAAACAAGTTGAACCAGGGTCAAACTAGGTGGGTCCAGGGTCGGAAGGCGGGGCTAGGTCCATTATATAAGGGAATGCGCGAGAGTTTCGTTAGTTCTGGCGGAAGATTGGATTGGGAACTCGCCAGAGCTCAATGACCCTGCCTGACGCAACATTCTCGCACCTCATCAGACAGAGATATCTGATGTCATACTCCGTGCTGGTTTTTTTCTATCTCGTCCGATCTGTCTTGTACCTTTACGTGACATTTCGCGGAATTTTTACACTGCGATGCATTCATCCGCGCGTTAACTGCTTTCAATTGACAATTTCATTATTAATGTTATGTTTTGTCGTTAAATGTATAGTTTTGATGTTGTTAGATATTTGATGTTGTAGATAAAATATAATCTACACTGTGAAATTCGTTGTCATCTATGTAAGGACAGACTACATTTTTACCCGTAAGCGTTCAAATATAGCTTAAGTAGTTAAGAGGTCATTATCATTTGAGGCCCAAGGCGGGATACTTGTAGTTTTTAGCAAAATTGAATAGTTTTTTTCGAACTAAAAGGTGCGAGAAGAAATACCGATTACCTGTAACTGAGCAAGATCGGGTTATTTCAGTCTCGGGCTAAGATTCTGTAACATCCCAACCTAGGCTTACGCCTCGGTTGGAATTTTGTTACTGAATCTTAACCCTCTACTGAGATAAGCCAATCTCGCTCAGTTACAGGTAATACATTTTATTATCCCGGTAAATGAAATTAACATTCGGCCTGGGTCACTAAATTCATGTTTCGGTTTCTTTCAGAGGCCTCTGTTGACTCCCGGGGTCAAGTTTAGCCTGGGAACTGACCGAGAGTCAACAGATACCGGCTTTACTATATTCTAAATTATCCGTCGTCTATAATAGGTGAGTCGTTTATTTCGTCTTAGTATATTGCTTGTTGTGTATAAATTCGTTCTGAAGGGAATGAATAAAGTATTGAAATGCATTTGTAAGGCAAATCCAAAACCGATCCGTATTTGAAAAGTCTTTTTGTAATCAATGGTTTAGTTTGTGTAAAGAACGAATACTGGTACATGTAAAAACGTAAATTGACTGTGACGTCATGATTTAAATAATTGTGTGCCGTTTATTATGACTTATGATATGGATTCAAGTTTAAAATGAGGTAGTAAGCAATCTCCATTTTTATTTTGCTCATATTCGTAAACTTTCTTGGTCTTTGATAAATAATAATTAAATAAGGTTCGGAGGTTTCTTCAGATACCCGAGATTTTGACCCGAATTCATGAAACCATTCTCATGTGTTTTCATGCTCAAATTAGAATTCTGTGCTCAAGCCAATTTTCTTGTTTCGGTGATAAGTTAAGAATAACGAATTTTGTTAAGAATTTGAAAACAAACAAAAACTGAAGAGATTTCAAACCAAGGTCTGTTTTGAATGGTTACACAGGACTGATTGACCGTTGCACATGATTTAAATGCGTTAACAAAAGTCGCCTTGAGCACAGACTCATTGCTCCGGGCCCTGGTCTATTGTGCAACGGAATCGTTTGTTCTTTAGGTGGACAGTTAGCAGGTACATTACCTTAGAACTATATAAAGCTATCAGAATACTATAGAAGCCTGTCAGATGTAGACAGTAAGACGATTTTGAGATTGTATTTGACAAGCGTGGTAATAAAAAATTGTATTGTCAGTGATATATGAATATTTATCTGTATGTATTAGATCTCTTTCTACATAATGTCCTCAAAACTGTATTTTGACGATTCCTACTTACAGGCAAAAAACATATTAATGCGTTAGTATGACCTTGACGATTCCTACTTACAGCCCAGAAACATATTAATGGGTCATTAGGACGTATACGTTTCCTACTTACAACCAAGAAACATACCAACGGGTCATAAGGAACTTTACGTTTCCTACTTACAGCCCAGAAACATATTAATGGGTCATTATGGCCTTGACGATTCCTACTTACAGCCCAGAAACAAATTAATGGGTCATTATGACCTTGACGATTTCTACTTACAGCCAAGAAACATATTGATGGGTCATTATGACCCTTAACGATTCCTGCTTACAGCCAAGAAACATATAAATGGGTCATTATGACCCTTAATGATTCCTACTTACAGCCAAGAAATATATTAATGGGCCATTAGGACCCTTACGGTTCCTACTTACAACCAAGAAACATACCAACGGGTCTTAAGGAACTTTACGTTTCCTACTTACAGCCAAGAAATATATTAATGGGCCGTTAGGACCCTTACGTTTCCTACTTACAGCCAAGGAACTTATTAATGGGTCAGCATGACCTTGACGATTCCTACTTACAGCCAAAAAACATATTGATGGGTCATTATGACCCTTAACGATTCCTACTTACAGCCAAGAAACATATTAATGGGTCATTATGACCTTGACGCTTCCTACTTACAGCCAAGAAACATATTAATGGGCCATTAGGACCGTTACGTTTCCTACTTACAGCCAAGGTACTTATTAATGAGTCATTATGACCTTGACGATTCCTACTTACAGGCAAGAAACATATTAATGGGTCATTATGACCTTGACGATTCCTACTTACAGCCAAGAAACATATTAATGGGTCATTAGGACCTTGACGTTTCCTACTTACAGCCCAGAAACATATTAATGGGTCATTATGACCTTGACGATTCCTACTTACAGGCAAGAAACATATTAATGGGCCATTAGGACCCCTACGTTTCCTACTTACAGCCAAGAAACATATTCATGGTTCATTATGACTCTTAACGATTCCTACTTACAGGCAAGAAACATATTAATGGGTCATTAGGACCTTGACGTTTCCTACTTACAGCCCAGAAACATATTAATGGGTCATTATGACCTTAACGATTCCTACTTACAGCCAAGAAATATATTAATGGGCCATTAGGACCCTTACGTTTCCTACTTACAGCCAAGAAACATATTCATGGGTCATTATGACTCTTAACGATTCCTACTTACAGGCAAGAAACATATTAATGGGCCATTAGGACCCTTACGTTTCCTACTTACATTGTACAGCCAAGGTACTTATTAATGGGTCATTATGACCTTGACGATTCCTACTTACAGTCAAAAAACATATTAATGCGTTAGTATGACCTTGACGTTTCCTACTTACAGCCCAGAAACATATTAATGGGTCATTATGACCTTGACGTTTCCTACTTACAGCCCATAAACATATTAATGGGTCATTATGACCTTGACGATTCCTACTTACAGCCAAGAAACATATAAATGCGTCATTATGACCCTTAAAGATTCCTACTGACAGCCAATGAACTTATTAATGGGTCAGTATGATCTTGTCGATTCCTACTTACAGCCAAGAAACATATAAATGGGTCATTATGACCCTTAAAGATTCCTACTGACAGCCAATGAACTTATTAATGGGTCAGTATGATCTTGTCGATTCCTACTTACAGCCAAGAAACATATAAATGGGTCATTATGACCCTTAAAGATTCCTACTTACAGCCAATGAACTTATTAATGGGTCAGTATGATCTTGACGATTCCTACTTACAGCCAAGAAACATATTGATGGGTCATTATGATCCTTAACGATTCCTACTTACAGCCAAAGAACTTAGTAATGGTTCATTATGCCCTTGACGATTCCTACTTACAGGC